ATTCCTGCTACCTTGCAGACCTGTAGATATGTATTATCTGTCTTTGCCATTTGATTGGTCAAACCAAACTGCTGCTTGAGTATACATTTTGTGTCCCCTACACTTAAAAGGCTGAGAATGCAGGAGAAAACAGAGACAGCACAGGACCTGTTTTTTCGTTATCTATGAGCGATAACTCTTGGAGGTCTATCATGATTCCTAGCTGTCTCTGTGCTGAACACTTCAGCTCATTTGAAGCAGAGTGTGGGGAGCTAGCTATGCAGACTTTTGACAGAGTAGAGAAGCAGAAATTATGTGTGAAATAGAGGCACTTTTTGCTTGTGGATCATTAACAGGCCTCCATATTGTCTGTCTAGATCAATGTCTTGAGAAGACAGGAGCGCATGATCAAAAACCGGGAGTCAGCCTTTCAGTCACGGAAGAAAAAGAAAGAATACATGTTGGGACTGGAGGCAAGGCTGGAGGCAGCCTTATTGGAGAACGAGAAACTCAAGAAAGAAAACAGCACGCTGAAGAGACAGCTGGATGAAGTGGTGTTAGAGGTAAGATTGTGATGAAGATCTGACTTTATTATAAAGGACACTAGCTCAGGTGGAAGGCACTGGAACAAAATCATGGAAATGTTGACTGGAAGACCTTTGGATCTTCCCCACCCTCTCACTCCAAGCAGGACTTTCACCAACTCTAAGTCAGGCCAGATTATCTAGTTGACTTTTAATTCTTTAGTTCATGGTGCTTCTGAAGATTTCACTGAGAAGATAAACTGGATAGAAGCTGAATATAATGTAGAAACAAGAGAGTTTTTTTTTAAGTAGTCCCAGTGTGTATTTGTACATAATTACGCAAATAAAAATCTAAAAAGCAAGCATAATTTGTGTATTTAGCTTCTAATGTACCTTTACATTTCTGTGCCCCTTTTTCAATTGTCTTCTCTGCTTTTTACTGTCTAGAATGAAAAGCTCAAAGTATCATCTCCAAAGAGAAGGACCCTGTGTGTGATGGTGATACTGGCTTTCATAATGTTGAATTATGGTCCATTGAGGTAAGCTGACTAGGAATTCCTCTTTGCATAGCAAGTTTGCTGTCCTGTGATTTTTGTTTGAACCTTGATTACAGGCAGTATTGTGTTTTAAAGCCTTGAGCTCGAAACCTGACTCCTGTCCTTTTACTCTCCTGCTGTACAAGGGAAGACTCATCTGTGTAATGGTTCCTCTTTTGGAATCCTTCTGGCAATAAGAGCTAGATCTTGTATTTTTATTTTCTCTTGGCTTGGCATTTCGATAATCCATGCAGTGTACAGGCATTTACACCTGAAGAGAGTAAAGAGTTGTGTTTAGAATCCTTTTAGAAAAACTCACGGACTCTGAGGGCTCATCTGCTTGTTTATACGTGTGCTCATCTCCATAGCTATGACTTCAAGCTGCTTCTAGTACCTAGTGCAGGAAATCCCACTGTTTGTTCCAGTGCTTTGCAATCCTGACCGTTAGATGTGTCTAGCCACAATTTTCCCCATTACAGTGTAAGCCATGTATTACTTGTCTTCTAGATCTGGTGAAGAGCTTGTTCCTTCTCATTAATTAGTTGAGGTGGTAATCAAAAGCCTCTCTAAAACAGGCTTGTTTTTGAGACTTTAAAACTTTAAAACATACTTTAAAAGTCCCCACTTTTATCAGTGGGACATAGGAACCAGAGAACAAGAAGGAAATGCTGCATTACTTCCCAGACACTTCATAAAGAAACCTGTGGAAGAGGGGAGACTAAAAAGGGATACTTTGTGCATATATATCTGTTTATTTGACCTGGCTTTGAAACATAACGGCCTTTTATATGAAGCTGTTGACTTTTTCAAAAGGGGAGAAAATTTCAGTAGATTCCCAGTCAGCAGTGTCTCCATTTATCCTCAAAATCCCAGTTAAACTAAAGGAAGGGAATGGGATCAATCAGGAGGAAGACTTTGTTTCTGACTGTGGTAAACTTTTACAATGTTGGCGTTTGTATTTTTAATAATATTAGAAGATTTGCTAAAGCTGAAATTGCTTTTGAAGTATTTGTACTTATTAGAAATACTGTTTATCTCAGGCAGTGAAGTACAGCTGATAATTTTACTTTGATATGGATGTTTTTAAGGTAGACCATTTCCTAGTGCATTTAGGATCTGTATTGGGATTTTTGACTATCAGGCAGAAAAAATCAGCTTCCAGATACTAAGCGATTGCTTTGTACATCCCATCTGCATTTGCAGATATTATCACTCACTCGAGAGACACTGTTCTCACTTGGTGAGAAATAGGACCAGTAATCTTTTTGAAGCTGGAAGAAATTTTCGTTGCCTCCATGTTACGGTTAGAGGAGTTGGAATGCATGAAGCTCTTGCTGGTTTTGAGGAGTTTGGAAACAGAGAGAAGATGTGGGTGAAGTCTTTTCTGAAGTGCTCTGAAGTTTCTGTGTCAGCCTCTCTACCCCAGGAGTGAGTAAGGTGTTGAGCTTGATGGCATGAAACTACTGTCAAAGTAGACTGAAAGATCAGTTTGTGTTCATATCTTTACAACAGTCAGTAACTGTAGAAATGTGACAGGGTTAATTTCTTGACCTGTTTGATGTTTAAAAAGTAGATAAAGCAAAAAAAGAAATTCTTGGATGTCTGGCTGAGCATACCAGTGTAATTGTTGTGCCTGAGCTAGGTGGTCTGCTTTAGTACTGGATTTAGGCAGTGATGAGAAATGTAATTGCGAATTTGCAATGAATTACTCTTATCTTTCTGCCTTTTTTTTCCCTAGCAGAATAAATGCTTGCACTGCAATTAAAATAGTAGAGAGCGTCAAGGTGGTGTGAATGTTGATTGTGCAGTACCCTTCAGGTGGCCCAGAATGTAAGATATACAAACCATTACTTAAGATTACCCTCCTCTCATGTGCATTTTCTTCCTTTTGTAGAGGTGTCACTGAATGGTGATACCACACTCCACAAACACGGTAGTAATGATTGCTGTTCTGCTTAGTCCTTAACAGCAGAAGCTTCTGATACATGGGATGTATTTCAGTACCTGCAACTTCTTACAGAAATAAGGATTTTTTGTTGTTGTTAAAATATCCATGCTAGCTTATAGTTCAGCAAAAGTAATGTTTTCCCCTGAGTCAGCCATCTGTGGAATGCCTAATTTTTATGCAGTGGTCAACTGAAGATCAATCTGATTTGAAACTTTGTGGTAGTGTTGCCATTTCTTCTATGTAGGAAATAATTTCCCTTGCACACCTGTATGGAGGTATGACAGTGTTCAGGCACAGGATGTTTTGATTTAAACATATTAACATATTTTATTATTTAAAACCAAGGAACCTCTGCAAAGGGAGAGTGATATTCAAAAAAAAAAAAAGGCAAAAATGTGGGAATTTCACCCCCTGAATTCTGTAGCAGACTTTGAATGCACGTGACATCCCACAAAAAAAACCCAGACCATCTGGGTGGTTGCTTGTGTAGGCAGGTGTATGGTTTTTTCTGCATTAGTGGATATGCATTGTACTAGCACTGGTTCACACATAATTTTTTTTATTGGTCTTAAGTCTTGTGGACTGTGTGTGTAAGTGATGAGATGTTTGTGATGTTTCACTGAGGGCTCTGAAGCTGTGCTGTTCTGCTGTTTTAAGCTTATGGGAAGCAGTCCAGGATGTGGCAGCCCTTGGCGAACAAGCTTAGCAGAAAAAAATTTTCTGCTGACACATTTTTTCATGCTGACAAATATATTGTGTGTATCGGTAATCTGTAACATTGAATTTGGGAATATGGGAGTGGGGCTGAAAGTCTGGTAGGGAAGCTGGCATATCGACCTGAGAAGCCTGTCTGAAAATATTAGAGGGAGAGTGTAATCCAGTCTGCATAACTGCCAACAAACTTTTCAGAACATCCTTAAGTCTTGGACGTGGCACCATGTTATCTCTGAGAAAAGAATGTTAGTCGAATTAAGTATAAATTGAATAGAAATATGAATGGAATACTTTCTGGGTTGTGAAAGTGGCTCATATAGAGTTAAGGGTAACTGCATTGTACTGTGTTGCTGAAATCTCTTGACTTGGTATTTTATATGGAAAACTGAAACTTTCAATTCTGAAAAGCAGAAGTAATTTAGCAGGAATTCTATTAGCGTAAGTTTATATTTTATCTATTCGCTTTGTTTTAGAAGAAAGGTGCCTAGGAATTTCTCATCTGTGTGTCTATGAACTATTCTCTAATCTTTGTGAATTATTTGGATTTGGATTTAACATCTATAAAAATTTCCTTTTATTGTTATTTAAGAATGATTGGTGAGGTGTATGAAGGGGAAAAGGGCACATTTTGATTCAATTCCTTCAGAGGTCACCTCCTTGCCCCAGTCTTACATACCATGAGGTGCAAGACAGGAATTGGCAACCCGCAGTATTTGTACAAAAGGCAGTGAGCACACAAACCTTGGCATGCAGCAGGGTTGGGAGCTGGAACCGCTCCATCTGGAGGCAGGTATCTGTGGGAGGCAGCGTCTCCTGCCTTCGCACTTCTCATCTGTGAGAGCCAGTGTCAGTCAGCACGGCTGCGTTCTCAACTGACATGGCACCCCTGTAAGATTGCTGACTTCTGGCATTGAGAAACATCTAATTAGCTGTGCATTTTTTTTATGACTTACAACACAAAAACTGAAAATTTTCAAACTATTACAGTTCCTAGATATCTTTTTTGGTTTTTTTCTTGTTTAATTTCCTTATTTGTGTTAGACTGTGCCTGGGTAGTAACCAGATCTGAATCATAGCTGGCCACCTTCCACCATCCGACTTCAGCTCCCTGAAACTTTTACTGACCCCTTCAAAATCTATTCCCTGTGGCTAAACACAGATTGGTTTCATTGCTGAGCACCCTGGAACTGGCTCTGCACCACCATGCTCAATCATAGAATCGTTATGGTTGGAAAAGACCTTTAAGATCATCAAGTCTAACTCTACTATGCCCATTCCTATACCATGTCCCTGAGCACTGTATCTGGACAGCTTTTAAGTACATCCAAGGATGGTGATTCCACCACTTCCCTGGGCAACCTGTTCCAGTCTTTTGATAACCCTTTCAGTGCAGTTTTTCCTGTCTAACCTAAAGCTCCCCTGGCGTTACTTGAGGCTGTTTCCTCTTGTCCTATGGGCTGTAACTTTTGAGAAGAGACTCACACCCACCTCTCTACAACCAACTTGCAGGTAGTTGTAGAGGGCAATAAGGTCTCCCCCTCGGCTTCTTGTGTGTGACCTGGTCTAAGTGATCCTGCTCTGGCAGGGAGGGTTGGACTAGATGATCTTTCGAGGTCCCTTCCAACTCCTAACATTCTGCGATTCATTTTCTTCAGACTAAACAACCCCAGGTCCCTCAGCTGTTCCTCATAAGACTTGTGCTCCAGACCCTTCCCCAGCTTCGTTGCCTTTCTCTGACCATGCTCCAGCACCGCAATGTCTTTCTTGTAGTGAGGGGCCCAAAACTGCACACACTATTGGAGGTGCAGCCTCCCCAGTGCCAAGTTGAGGGGTTCAATCAGTTCCCTAGTGCTGCTGGCCACACTATTTCTGATAGGGTCCAGGATGCCTTTGGCCTCCTTGGCCAGATGGGCACCCTGCTGGCTCATGTTTAGTTGGCTGTTGACCAGCACCCCAGGTACTTTTCTGCCAGGCATCTTTCCAGGCACTCTTCCCCAAGCTTGTAGCGTTACCTGGGGCTGTTGTGACCCAAGCGCAGGACCCAGTGGCACTTGGCCTTGTTGAACCTGATAAGATTGGCTGGGGCTGCAGAGTCTGGATTGGCCCTGGAATCCAGGTCCATTCCAGAGGCTGGGTTTTGGGGATGGTTTGTTTGTAGAGCAAGGATGGTGCTGATGCAACTGTTCTTGGGGCAGATAGGAATGCTGGACATGGTGTTTTGGTGGGGAGGCAGTTCCAGAGCAGGTTCTAGATAGTTTTGTCTTGTTTTGTGGGTTGTTTTTTCTTCTCTCTCCACCCCCCCCCCCCCCTACACAACTCTCGGGGGGGGC